AATTAATAATATGACAAAGGGAAGGAGACGATAAAGGTAAGTAAGAGGGAGACACAGAAGGATGTGAAGAAGAGAAAATATGAGACAAGAAGAGGAAGATGGAGAAGATGTAAGACAGAAGAAGAGGAAGAGGGAGAATGTAAGATAGAAGAAGAGGAAGAGAGAATGTGAGATAGAAGAAGAGGAAGAGGGAGAATGTAAGATAGAAGAAGAGGAAAAGGGAGAATGAGAGGTAGAAGAAGAGGAAGAGAGAGAATGTGAGATAGAAGAAGAGGAAAAGAGAGAATGTGAGATAGAAGAAGAGGAAGAGGGAGAATGAGAGGTAGAAGAAGAGAAAGAGAGAGAATGTAAGATAGAAGAAGAGGAAGAGGGAGAAGATGTAAGACAGAAGAAGAGGAAGAGGGAGAATGAGAGATAGAAGAAGAGGAAGAGGGAGAATGAGAGGTAGAAGAAGAGAAAGAGAGAGAATGTAAGATAGAAGAAGAGGAAGAGGGAGAATGACAGGTAGAAGAAGAGGAAGAGAGAGAATGTAAGATAGAAGAAGAGGAAGATGGAGAAGATGTAAGACAGAAGAAGAGGAAGAGGGAGAATGTGAGATAGAAGAAGAGGAAGAGGGAGAATGAGAGGTAGAAGAAGAGAAAGAGAGAGAATGTAAGATAGAAGAAGAGGAAGAGGGAGAATGACAGGTAGAAGAAGAGGAAGAGAGAGAATGTAAGATAGAAGAAGAGGAAGATGGAGAAGATGTAAGACAGAAAGAGGAGAGGGAGAATGAGAGGTAGAAGAAGAGGAAGAGGAGATACAAACATACTGTACATAGACAACAGAAACGTACATAAAACAATAGAAAGGTACATAAGCAGTAGAAAGACGACCCCTTAACCACCCCTCACGACCCCACTCACGACTGCCCCCCTCAGACCCCATCCCATTATCCCTCTCCGTAGTGGGTCAATTTGTGCCCAATGTTGAATTCAGGACACACACACACACACACACACACACACACACACACACACACACACACACACACACACACACACACACACACACACACACACACACACACACACACTCACTCACTAAGTTTCCTCTTGTTGTAGGGGGGGGTTCTGGAGGGGCTCCTTGTGGGGGGAGACGATCTCTGCCCAGCGACTCTATTACCTCTGAACGACCCTTGAATACGTCAGCACATAACAGCAGGGGCTATTTCACACTTTCTGTCACGGCACATCGAGACAGGGGTGGATATTTCACAGTGGGGTGGATATTTTACGTAGGGTAGATATTCCACGCTTGGGGTGAATTTATATGGGAGTAAATATTTCACAGCGGGGTTGATATCTCACAGCGGGAGTGGTCATCTCACGCTGGTGTTAATGTATTTGGTTTCAATCTTATAACCTATGAAGTATGGTATAAATTTGATGCTCAAGGTGGATGCTAACTTCACTACATGGTCGGTGGAATGCAATTTTAGAGCCCATACTAGAAAGAGTATTTATATTACGGTCTCAACTAAGAAAGGGGGGTATGTTTATAACGCTATCACCAAGTAGTAGTTTTTTTTTTATGCTGTCTCGTATTCTTTCATTCTGACCCAGTTTGAAGAGGAATTTCGTAGCAAAATATCAGTATTATGCTACAGTTGAAAGAGGATTTCTATTATGCTTTCAACCGGGGTACATATTTAACACTACCAACCGGGGTACATATTTAACACTACCAAAGGGGGTATATATTTTACGGTAGGAGTAAATGGGGTTGACAACTGTAGGGGGGGTAATAATTTCACGGCGTGGCAGGTATGATATCTGTCTGTATCATCGAGCTTCTGTTTTTTGTCTTACCTGTGTAATTTATAAACACACACACACACACACACACACACACACACACACACACACACACACACACACACACACACACAAACAACTAGGAACAGTGACGGACATACAGACATGGTGGTTACTTAGTCACTGGGGAGGAGATAAACTTCAAACCCAGTAGGATTTCACACCTAAGTCCTTGCCTATCCTTACCCACCTCCCACCCCAGCCCAGCCCTGCCTCACCAGCTAGCCACGACCACAGCTGCACTACCTCGCTAATATCCTTCCTAGTGCCGCTGCTGCCACTACACCACCACCCATCTACCACCACCACCACCACCACCACCACCATCTACCACCACCACCCATTACCACCACCACCACCACCACCCATCTACCACCACCACCCATCTACCACCACCACCCATCTACCACCACCACCCATCTACCACCACCACCCATCTACCACCACCACCATCACACGATTCCCAAAGGTTCCTACAGCAATATATCCTCATAACTGTTGACACGAAGGAGGGGGGGGGAGTGAGGGCGCATCTGTTTACTAAAGGACAGTAATTATGCTTTTGAGAACTCTTGTGTAGATAAGAGAACGCAATGTTATCTTAATCCAATCCATTTATAGAGTTTAGATGGACTTTCGCCGCCATTTTAAAACGCCATCTTACCATCTCTGCTCTACCAAATACCACAATTAAACGCAACAACTAATTGACTGCAACTACTACCACCTACATCTCACTATTAAGCCGCTGTGTGTGTGTGTGTGTGATATACCACATCTTTCTAGCAAGAGAAAAATTCGGAAGGAAGGGATGGAAGGAGGGAAAGAATATCAGAAGGAAGGAGGAGGAGGGAATATATGAAGGAAGGCGGAAGGGAAGGACCGAGGGAGTGAGGTGATGTAGGAGGGCCGCTGTACCGCCCTGTTGTGAGTTGTGTCGACGGAACCACCACACAACTTTGGCCGAGCCAACCAGACCCCCTAGATTGCTCTGTGTGGGCGTGGACCTTGTGTGGGCGCAGATGTGTGTGTGGGCGTGTGTGTGTGTGTGCTTACATGGATGTTTGCGTGGGAGTAAATGTGTGTTGGAGTGTATGTGTGTGTGCGCGCGCGCGCTTCGAGCCCGTTACCATGGCGACCCAAACCTCCACGATTTCTGGTGAGAACCTCTGTAGTGGTGGTGCTGGTGACTGGTGGTCCTACTGTGGTTGATACGCTAGGTGTTTATGACAATGCATGAGACCCTAACATACACACACACACACACACATTATGTATATATATATATTGACCACCAAAAAGGTCAGCCTCGATAGGTCAGCTCGGAGGGCCTGGAGGAGGAGGTGTTATGGCCAGGATCTCAAAAGGTCAAGTGACTGACAAATTCTTACGAGAGGGACATCAAGTCTTGGCCACGGAAGGAGGAGAGAGACTTAAAGCGGGAAGAGGAAACCGTAGGAGGAAGACACCCGTCTCACGCCAACTGGGGGAGGAAGAAGAAGAGAAGGAAGAGACGAGACTTGTCATTGAAAATAAAATGTAGGAGTCCTGAGAGAGAGAGATGTAATACTCCTCCCCCTCACTTTCCTTCCTTCCTTCCTACCTTCCTTCATTCCTTCCTTCCTTCTTTCCTTCCTTCCTCCCACCCTATCTCCCTACATACTTAATATCCTCCCCTTCTCTTCCTTTCTCTCTCCCTCATCCCTTACATTACTTGATATCCTTCCCTCCTCCTTCTCGTTCCCTCTCCTTCCCTCCAGTCAAAATATAAATAAATAAAATAAAAATAAACTCCGTCTCGTGATCCTGTATGAGACGTGATGTACAAACATTCTCTCCTCCGCTTGGTTGCATATATTGACTTCCTCCACCTCATGTCAGTCCCCTCCCCCCCCTCCACCCCACACACACACACACACACTAATGTACGTACTGATTACTGATGTGCACGCCTAGAACCCGACAGTCACGCGACGTACATGATGTAAACGCACATGCCAGGACGTGCAATAAGAGCCTCAACCCGATCGTATTACATGCACACACACACACACACACACACACACACACACACACACACACACACACACACACACACACACACACACACACACACACACACACAGAGGAAGAGATACACAAAGACATACTTAAGGGTGTGTTGACAGCAACAATGACAATAATAAATGATGAACTTATAGAAATAGGTAGACCTTCAGAGAGAGAGATCCAGGTGTTTTGCTGCATACGTACAGGTAACAATAATCTCAGGTGAGGATGGAAGCGTGGGTGACTCTTTAAGGTGGTGATAACCTCACCTTTGTTTGTTTACATTGATTTAGCTGATTATATTTGCTGAAATGTGTTGGTGACGTGGTGTGTGTGTGTGTGTGTGTGTAGTGAGAATGTTGCTATTACTATTATTATTACTGTTACTACTTTTTTACTATTGTTATCACTACTACCTATTATTATTACTGTTACTACTTTTTTACTATTGTTATCACTACTACCACCATCAATACTAATAAAAATAATAATACTAATAATAATAATAATAATAATAATAATATGAATTCAAATATTATCAAGCTGTCAAAGATATTAAGTTAACCCCTGCCCGTCCATCCGTCCTTCCGTCTCCCGCCCGTCAACAGTCAGTGACTTAACTAAGGGATACCATTACATTTTGACCTTGACGCAGTGGCAGTGTCTGATGCCTCTAGGATTTTTTTTTCATCGGATTGAAAATAAAAGATAATTTGGCGGCCATTTTGGATTGGTAGGGTTACGCTCAGTGGGGTTAAGTTAGGTCTAGGTTAGGTTAGGTTAGGTTAAGTTAGGTTAGGTTAAGTTAGGTTAGGTTAGGTTAGGTTAGGTCAGGTCTAGGTTAGGTTAATGTTATTTAATCAGCCAGCCAGTCACTAACCACAGCAATATCCAGTCATGATGATCGTGGTGGCTGGACGCGTGACTGTACAGGGTGATGAACGCGAGTTGTAAGCTCACTAGGTTGTTGATAATGGTGATAACATGACAGTGGGGCGTGTTGTTGTGGTCATTACTGTCATGAGGCAGCGGGGAAATTCCAGTGACGCTTCCCGAGGTCGACTGTCACGCGGTGGCTCAAGGATGACACATACCCAGGCCTCAAGGATGACATATACCCAGGCCTCAAGGATGACACATACCCAGGACTCAAGGATGACACATACCCAGGACTCAAGGATGACATATACCCAGGACTCAAGGATGACATATACCCAGGACTCAAGGATGACATATACCCAGGCCTCAAGGATGACACATACCCAGGCCTCAAGGATGACACATACCCAGGCCTCAAGGATGACACATACCCAGGACTCAAGGATGACATATACCCAGGACTCAAGGATGACATATACCCAGGCCTCAAGGATGACACATACCCAGGCCTCAAGGATGATACCCAGAGATGACATACCCAGGACTCAGGATGACATATACCCAGGCCTCAAGGATGACATATACCCAGGACTCAAGGATGACATATACCCAGGACTCAAGGATGACATATACCCAGGCCTCAAGGATGACACATACCCAGGCCTCAAGGATGACATATACCCAGGACTCAAGGATGACATATACCCAGGACTCAAGGATGACATATACCCAGGCCTCAAGGATGACATATACCCAGGACTCAAGGATGACATATACCCAGGACTCAAGGATGACATATACCCAGGCCTCAAGGATGACACATACCCAGGCCTCAAGGATGACATATACCCAGGACTCAAGGATGACATATGCCCAGGCCTCAAGGATGACATATACCCAGGCCTCAAGGATGACATATACCCAGGCCTCAAGGATGACATATACCCAGGCCTCAAGGATGACATATACCCAGGACTCAAGGATGACATATACCCAGGAGTGAAGGCTGACCCCATACTTGTGGTTCCAACACCAATCTTAACCTAACCATTACAAGAATTCTGTACTGTTATTTTGTTTATATATGACGATGTGGGCAGGAGGAAGGAGGAAGAGGAGGAGGAGTAGGAGGAGGAAGAAGAAGAAGAAGAGGAGGAGGAGGAAGAAGAAGAAGAGGAGGAGGAGGAGTAGGTGAAGAAGGTTGGTTCAATGGAGGAGTGAAGGAGGAAGAAGCAGGAGTTAGGGAAGGAGTAGGTTGGTTCAGTGAGGGAGAGAGAGAGGAGAGGAGAGAAGGAGAATGAAGCAGAAATTAAAGAAGAAGAATAAGATGAACGAAGGAAAACAGGAGGAGGAGGAAGTAAGGAAGACAAATATGAAGAAAGAGAGAATGGACGGAGAAGTAAGGGAGAACAAGAAAGAGATAAAAGAGAAGGGAGTGGGAAAGAAAGAAGAGAAGGAAGAGGGAATAAGGAAGAAATAAGAGAAGAAAAAGGAGGAGGAAGAGGCTCATATCCTGAAGTAGTAATTATGTCATATATTGTGTGGTGGTGGTGAGAGAGTTGAGGAGATTGGCGCCACACAACACAACACTTCACAACACAACACAACACTTCACAACACAACACTTCACAACACAACACAACACTTCACAACACAACACTTCACAACACTTCACAACACAACACAACACTTCTGGCTAACTTTTGTGTGAATTCTGTGAGGGTGGAGCTGTTTTGTGTACCGTGGGAGGAGGAAGAGGAGGATAAGTAAAAATGAAGAGAAAGAAGAAGAAGGAGGAGGAGAAGAAGAAGTAGTAAAAGTGGAGATAAAGGAGGAGGAGGAGGAGGAGAAGAAAATGTAAAAATTAAGATAAATTAAGAAGTGAAAAGGAGAGAGACAAAGAAAAGTATAAGTAATGAAGATACAAACATTAAAAATAATAAAGACATGTTACAAAATTATTCTCTCTCTCTCTCTCTCTCTCTCTCTCTCTCTCTCTCTCTCTCTCTCTCTCTCTCTCTCTCTCTCTCTCTCAAGGAAGTAGGGCACGCGTTTATTGGTCCATTTTACTGTTATGAAAAGTTTGACGTTGACTGATCACTTGAGTGTGAGAGTCTGGAGACGAGGTTCACTTCCGTACACACACACACACACACACACACACACACACACACACACACACACACACACACGCACACCATCACTACACTAAATAGATGTAATTCAGGGTCCTTTAGGGTCCATGGTCATCCAAGGTCCTCCCCCCTTACAGAAAACACCACACTGACTCACTAGAACTTACGACACAAGGAACGATTCCCAATTTCCACTTCGTATTTAATAAAAGAAAATCCTCCTTAATTAACTACTAACACAAAATAGCGTCAAAATATATACCCTTGACTATTACTACAACTGGGGGGGCGGCGGCTGGGGGCCTGGAATGTGAACTATATACCGCAGGAAATTTTTGGAGAATCTCGGCTCTTGAGTTGGAAGAATGAAATGGAAATAATATGTTTCTCGTAATGGCTGGCTGAGACTTACGTTTATTTGATTCATAGAGAGAGATTTATTAAACCTTTGTACGAGTGGATATGGTGCAGGGGGGGGGGGTCAAGTCGGTAAAATTATTGAGTGAAATTTTTAGTAAGTACAGGTTTAAGTTTTTCCGTAAAGTAATTGGCTCAATTCCGTAAAGTAGTAGTTTTTTAAGTACGTAAAGTGTTTAAGTCTGTAAAGTAGTGTTTTTTAAGTTCATAAAAGTGTAATGACATAAACGACTTTTGTATATTTTATCTTTATTGAAGTATTGGTTACTGTGCCTTCCCTCACTATAAGCTGACTCACCACACGTTCCCACCTTACTATTCCGGCCTTGTCCCTGCCACGGCATCTCTCTCTCTCTCTCTCTCTCTCTCTCTTTTCTGCCAGTGACCATCATACGGCTCTTAACTCCCACTTCTCTCCCTGTCATGTTGTGTTATTCTCTTCCTCTCTCCCTTGCTCGCTCCAAATTTTTCTCTCCCCTTCCATTTATCTTTTCCTCCTTTACTTCTGTTCTTTCTCCTTTTTTTTTTACCTTTACTTTCCCTCCCTCTTCCTTTCCTTCACTCTCTCTCTCTCTTTTTCCCTTCTACCCTTTCCCCCTCCTTCCATTCCTCCCTCTGTCCCTCACACCACCCCCCCTCTCTCTCCCTCCTTCACCCCTCCCACTGTCCCTTCCACCCTTCCCTCCGTATCGCCTTGTTAACCCCCCTCCCCCCATAATACTCACGATAACAATGATTTAATAGTCGCGTGTGTAATATTTGCTTCCGTGTTTACCCAAATACTTCCTGTTATTACCGTGATGTTTCTTTCACCCTTGTTTATTTTTTTTGTATTCCTTTATTACCCCCATCTTTATCGCTTGTTGTTTCTTCTGGTTTTTGTGTTGTTATTATCTCATTTATCGGTCTTGTTTTTAATGTCTTGATTATATAGGGAGGGGGGGGAGGAGGTTGGGTTTTCAGGGGTTCAGGGGGGTGATTTGAGCTTCCCTTAAGGGGTTTTGAGCTTAAGATAAAGGGAGGGAGGAGGGTTGTACATACCGTGAGGAGGGGAAGAAGGGGTTGGTATTTAGGTATGTGTTCACTACCTCTTTCCCCCCTCCCCCCCTTCTCCTTTGTTTCTCATCCCCTCTTCCTCCCCCTCCTCCTCCTCCTCCTAATCATCATTATCCTCTCCGTCCTCTTCCTTTTACTCCTCTTGTTCTTCCTCCTTCTTCTCTTCCTCCTCCTCCTCCTCTCGGAAATGGATACCCACAACTGTCCACCTCCACCATCGATTCTTCTTCCCCCCGCTCCGTCCTCCGCCAGCGCCGGCGATGGGTCGTTCGTCTTACTCGTTACGGCGACCTGGTGGGCGATGATTCCCCCGCGTGGAATAAACTTTTTTTTTCCCCTTTCGTATGATGCTTATACCTCTTATAGGATGAGTTACCCCCTAATAGGATGAGTTACCCCCCTAATAGGATGAGTTACCCCCCCTAATAGGATGAGTTACCCCCTAATAGGATGCTTTATCTCCTTATTGTGGAACTGTAGGATATTTTTCGCCTCCCAGGATGATTCTTCTCCTCTAATAGGTTGAGTTTCCCCTCGAGTGGACAAGTGACCTGCGGTGCGTACTCATATTTTACGAATCTGACTCAATGTTCACGAATCTGACTCAATGTTCACGAAATTGACTCACCGTTTACTAATTTGACTCGCTGGGTTTCGTTTCCAAGGTTCATAGAATTTAATCCATGCGAGTCATTAGTTCGATTCAAATTGCCTCATATACATGGTTCGTTTCCGTGTTCATCCTGTTGTCTCGAGCGGATTGTTGTCACAGTACAAGTATCTGCTTCATTGGGTTTACTGGTTCGATGGGTTTACGGATTTGCTGGTTCACTTGTTTTCTCTGGGTTCGTTGGTTCGATGGGTTCGTTAGCCTGATGTGAGAGGGAATGTGTGTTGTGGTTTTACTGGTGGCTGTGTACAAGTTTCTCAGCGCCTGGTCTCCTTAGTTAACGGGTTCCCCCCCTTTCTTCCCTCCCCACCTCCCTCTCTTTCTCCCTCCCTCTCTCCTTCAATCCCATACCTCCCCCCCCCTTCCTTCCTTCGTTCCTTCCTTCCTCCCCAAAACCCCACCCCTTCCTCCCTCCTGCCCTTCCTTCCTTCCTTCCCTCCTCGCTTCCTTCCTTCCCTCAACTTCCTTCCCTCCTCCTTCCTTCCTTCCCTCCAGCTTCCTTCCCTCCTTCCCCTCCTTCCTAAGACCGACTTCTCAAAGATTCTTACATGAATTTTCCCCTTGCCTGGCCATAACAAACACCAATTAGTCATGGTAGAGTCTCTCAGAGCAGTAGTTTAGGTCACAGGAACCACTGAAGCTACACAAGAGATAAAATTTTAAACATGGCGTCAGAATTATACCGAGACTATACACTATCATGACTTGTTTCCTCCTCACGGCCACACACATTGAATCACGTTATTATAGTTCTTCATTGTTATTTTCTTTTACAAAGTTTTCGACAATGGTGACCACAAACTGACCAGTCATGGCTCAGAAAGTTTCACGGTGTTTGGGAAAGTTTAGAAACATATATAAAAATATATAGATTTAAACCATAAAATATAGGTAAAGTTACAGGTAAAGTAATTAGTAGGTAATTGGTTAAAGCATCATACAGGTGTAACATTACCCACCATATGACAGGTATAAAGTACAACACAAAAGTAAGACTAAAAAAAAAAAGTAACATTATTTAACACAATATAACCGGGTAACACAAATCAAACAAAAGTAACACCAAGTAACACTAAGTAACACAGCCTACCTAACCTGGTGAGGCACGAGGCACGGTTTGGCCCTCCTCGACACCTTGTAATACCTGTGTAATTAATTTTTTATCTCTTTCTTTTGTTGCAGGTGAGGCGGAAGTGGACGGTGACAGTGCAACCCGGAACTGTCACTCTCTCTCTACTTTGTGAGTGATTGTGACATTATCTCCAGGTTTCATTATCTCTGTTATATTTCTCCTACTTCAAGGCTTAACAATGAAATAAACTATACCTTAATACTGAAAATTTTAAATACTTATACATTTTTATTATTATTTTTTTCAATTTTAACTTAATTAATTCCTAAGTAATTTTTTATTATAACTACGTACAGTATTTATATTTTACGTAATTACATATATTTTTATTTAATTTTACTTTAATTAATTCCGAAGTAATTATAATTTAAGGGATATTCTTTATAATTTACAGTATTATATTTTGATATTAATTACAACTACCATTAATTTCTATATATAATTAGGCTGTTTAGTCTTACTTTCTTCCTTCACTAAAATTAATCACAACATAAACGAAAATTTCTGGAAATATTCACCATCAAATATAATTATTTTTTCTGTAATATAAAGTTGTTGTTTTTACCCCAAATAACAACAAGTATAAGATCGTTAGCGAAAGTAAGTGAAAAACAAATAATCTTACGTTTTGCTTTAC